GGAGGAAAAGGAGGGAGAGGAGAGGAGGAAGAACGGAAAAAAGACAGAGGTAATAATCACTAATCAGAGTAATTACCGTGTTACAGTCTGTGGTCCGTGGAGCAGAGTGTTACTAGCTTACCTTGGATAATTCGGCATTTGCTAATTTAATAAATAGCTAGAATTAACACCAGTTCCTCCCAACATAAATTCATTAGGGAAAGTTGGAAATACTTTTCAGGTGTTTGGGAACAGGAATAGCCTACAGCATCATTTTCAGAAATACACTTTATCTCTAAAGTGTCCTGCTGCACCTGCATGAACCGTCCACTGTGTCTGTCTCAGGATAGTAAACTGTAAAAATAAAATAAAATGCTTTTCTGTTCCCATCCCCCTTTTTAACTAATAGTTTAAAACCTTTTGCATTTTTATTATTGATTAGTCTTATATGCATAGCAAACAGCATTATCATGTGAGCGACGTGCTCATTGAATGAGGTTTTGTGCATGAATGCCAGCCAGCTGTAATTTGTCTTGCTGTTTATAACTTTATAAACACAAAGTAATCTGGCTTAGGTGCTGTTATTGGCTGGGTTTAATGCCACCTCAGCCAGGGCTGGTCAGACCTATAGGCGACATAGGCAGCCGCCTATGGCACCACCTTCTGAGGGGGCGCCGACTCGTCAGCCTGTTTCATTTTGCCTCAAGCAGCGGGCGCCGGTGGTGATGCTCTCCTAGGGCTCCACATCAGCTAGGACCCAAACTGCTGTAAAGATATCTGGGGCTTCAGTAAGAATATGTAGGATGTGAAATTTAAAGCTTAATTTTAACACAATGAAATAGTAAAAAGTGTTTGTGTGGGGGGGGGTGGGATTGGGTATCCCAACAAAAATAACCTGTTATTTTACGGTGCGGGGAAAAAACTAAACATGCCAAAAGTCTCGTATTTTGTTTGGTAACTTATGGTTAAGGTTACGGCTGGGTAGGGGATAAGGTCATCATGTTGGGATTAATGTTGTTTGTTTTAATCCTCCTACTATACTGGTCAGGATCATGTTGAGAATTAGTGCATTTTCCTCTCATTTTTCTTCAGGGGAGCTCATGTCCAGCACAATCAAATGTACCCTGAAGCAGAAATGTGAGTGTGAATTTGAAGGGAAAGCTAAGGGAGGACAGCCAACACTTCTCAAAGAGATTTACACAGAACTCTACATAACTGAAGGTGGGACTGGAGGAGTCAATGGTGAACATGAAGTGAGACAGATTGAAGCAGCATCCAAGAAAAGGCGAACAGAAGATACTACAGTCAAGTGCAATGATATATTTAAACCCTTATGTGGGCGTGAGACACCTATCAGAACTGTACTCACTAAAGGGGTGGCAGGTATCGGGAAAACAGTCTCTGTGCAGAAATTTATTCTAGACTGGGCAGAAGGAAAAGCAAACCAGGATGTTCACTTCATATTTGCTCTTCCTTTCCGGGACCTGAATTTGATTAAGGATGACTACGGTCTGATAGATCTGCTTCACCACTTTCTCCCAGAACTGAAATCATTTAAATCCACTGAGCTGTATAGGTACAAAGTCTTGTTCATCTTTGATGGTCTGGATGAGTGTCGCCTTCCTCTAGATTTTCAGAACAATGAAAACTGGTTTGATGTAACAAAGAAAACATCACTGGATGTGCTGTTGACTAACCTCATTAAGGGGAATCTGCTTCCATCTGCTCTCCTCTGGATAACCTCCCGGCCAGCAGCAACCAATCGCATACCTCCCGAGTGGATACACCAGGTGACAGAGATACGAGGGTTCAGTGATGCCCAGAAGGAGGAATATTTCAGGAAGAGATTTAGTGATCAGAGACTGGCTAGCAGGATTATCACACATGTGAAATCTTCAAGGAGCCTCTTCATCATGTGTCACATACCTGTGTTCTGCTGGATTTCAGCTACTGTTCTTAAGAGACTTTTTAGTGAGAATGACAGGGGAGAAATTCCAAGGACTCTGACTGAAATGTACACACACTTCCTGATCTTTCAGAGAAGATTTAACAGTGAGAAGTATATGAAAGAAGATAAAACCAAAGCAAATAAATGCTTTGAATCCGGCAAGGAATTGCTTTTAAAACTTGGTAAACTGGCTTTTCATAACCTCAAGAAAGGCAATCTCATATTTTATGAGCAAGATCTGACAGAGAATGACATTGATGTCACTGAAGCTTCAGTTTACTCTGGAGTGTGCACAGAAGTCTTTAAGGAGATATATGGGTTGTACCAGGAGAAGGTGTACTGCTTTGTGCATCTGAGCATTCAGGAGTATCTCGCTGCTTTATACGTGTTTCTGTCAAACTTATCAGCTGACCTGCTGAAAACTGCAGTGGATCAGGCATTAGAGAGCAAGAATGGACACTTGGACCTCTACCTCTGCTTCCTCATGGGCGTCTCAACAGACTCCAGTAAGACTCTGTTAGAAAGGCTACTGGGAGAGATAAGAACCCACTCACATAACATTAAGGAAACAACCCAATACATCAAGGAGAAAATACAGGAGAATTTATCTCCAGAAAGGACCATCAACCTGTTCCACTGTCTGAATGAGCTGGGTGACAATTCTCTAGTAGAGGAAGTACAAAGATACCTGAATTCAGGAAGACTTTCACCTGAAGACCTCTCACCTGCACAGTACTCAGCTCTGGTCTTTGTGTTACTGATGTCAGATGAGGAGCTGGATGTGTTTGATCTGAAGAAATTCTTCAGATCAGATGAAGATCACTGGAGACTGCTGCCTGTGGTCAGGAACTCCAAGACAGCTCTGTAAGTCATCTGGGCATGGGAAATCATGTCAAGTTTGGTAGTAATACATGAATATTTTTGAAATATATAATGTACATATAATTTATTTCTCCTCATGGATTAACAACTTGGGTGTTTTTTTTCATAATCCGGACCACAGACTTTATAATGACTGAAGGTAGTGATGTAGTAACAAACAAAAAAGTGACGTTTCCGTTCCCATCCAGTCTGCCTTCTGATCACAGCATCCTAACCTGCTATAGAAACAGTGAGGGCTCTTTATCCACAGGATGTATAAGTGGTATGTGAGTGTTATTGTCAGCAGGTGTGTTCATGTGATGGAGCCCAGAGCTGGGAGCTTCCGTATGACTGCTGTCTCTGGCTGCTCACTGGCGGCCTCTGCTGGCCACAGCTGCTCCTGGCTGAGGATGTGATGACACATCTAGTCTGGCAGTAATAGATAAACATTATTTACAATATAAAATGATTATTTATATATGTAATTTATTTACCCACTTGTATCAATAGCTAGGACTTTTAGGAACCTAGATTTTATATTAACTGAAGGTAGTGATGTAGTAAAAACAAAAAAGACAAGATTTCCATGACCTTTGTGTAAGAAATAACCAAAGATTCAGCATCATACAGAATGGTCCAGTTTTCATTGATAGTGGGAAAACCACTCATATTCTTTTCAGTTCTGGATGTTGTAGGAAGCATTTCTGTAAATACTGGGTGTGGTGTGTGACTCTTTGGGTTTGGACACTGTGTCCATGAGCGGAAGGTCGCTGGTTCAGATCTCCTGGCTGGCAGAGTGATGTCATCTCTGGGTCCTTGAGCTGTGGGGGGGCTGGATGCTGGCTGACCCTGTGCTGTAACCCCCAAACTTCCTCTCACCTGTATATGTGTCGGCGTGTTTCTTGGAGAGCAAGATGGGAGGGGCGAAAAGACAATTTCCCCATGGGGATGAATGAAGCATCATTATTCTTAAATCGTTCAAACAAACATTTCTTCCAAAAGCCTATTTCACAGGATTGATAGCTCTACGATTAGTGTATTGTTGATTAGGACTGGGCGATAAGTAAAAAAATGTATGAGTTATTTTAGTTTAAAATCATCGCAATAAATAATAATTTTGAGTCCCCCCCAAACACAGAATACAACTTAAGTTCAATTCAGTTTTACTTGTATAGCGTGTTTTCACAACATTACATTATCTCAAAGCCAAAAATGCCCAAAGCCCCCAGTGAGCAAACCAGAGGCGACAGTGGCATGGAAAAGCTCCCTAGAAGGAAGAAACCTTAGGAGGAACCAGACTCAGAGGGGGAGCCCATCCTCCAGCGGGCAGCAAAGGAAGCCCTAACTCTAACCAGACCCAAAGGGGGAGCCCGTCCTCCAGGGGGCAGTAGAGGAAGTCAAATGTCTAGGGGTAGGAAACACACTTTCACTGACTGGGGCATGATCACACATTTCTTCAAATATCATAAACTTAATTCATGGCAAATAAATTATTTCTTATGTATTTGTTTTGCCATTACACTCATCTTTATTTTAATGTATATTGTGAATATGTCAGATTTTTGTTAAGTTTGTAATTTGACATCAAAGTATAGA